AATTTTAATAAGCTCAGATTCACAATCTGATTAGTTTATAAAGCCTTCGGCAACAATGACCAGAGGACATCATCACTATGAATGTAAATGTTGAGGACTGAGGACTCGACCCTGTGGAACTTCACATTATGATTCTCATCAAAAAGCAACAACATAAYTTTTCTTGCACAGATCAAAAATTGAGTTACTGCAAAAATAATTAGTTAGTAGTTTATTGTCCAATAGCTACATTAATATGAGCTAGAAGCACCACAGAAATTGTATCATTTAAATGAGATAAAGGTAGAGAGCTTCAGATAAACAGTCTTACCTCTCATGCCCCCCCAGCTTTGGGAGTCTGGATCCACTTCATCCTCGACCATCTCAGCAGCCTGCAGAAACCCATGGAAATAGCACATGGTAAGCTACACCCGATGCTCCTCTGAGCAGACTTCAGCAGCCTCTACAGCGCTTCCTTCTCTGCCACAGTACAGCTGCTGTACCACACTGTGACAAAGAYCTTCTGTTATGTAACTCTTGGAGAATGTATTGCGGATATTTACCACTACACCCAATAATAACTCAGTACTGCTACAAATAATGGATCTATAGCCACTGATGTGCYAGCTAATTTCAGTTCACTTTGATGGCCATCTTGATTTTGAATTACTCTAAAAGTTGATTACTTTCTGAAAGTTTCATCAAATTCTGTTTACTGGCTCATTACTTAATTTAATAAAACCCACACACAGACACCTATACACATGTTAGCCTGAGTTTCCCGGTGGTGATGATAATTAAGGCTCAGACAAACATATTGTAGTAAAAGATTTGCTGGGCAGAAAGTGGCAGATCAGTCTGCTTGTCATGTGTCAGGTTGTATTACACTGCATTGTTTGATGACAAGTTCTCGTGTTAAGCTTCACATTCAGTTTTGAAGACAAAATTCTGAGCTCAAACATAAACAAAGTTAAAAAATTGAAACAGCAAAAACTATTTTTCTTTATTCTTGGATCTCCTCAGGGTCTTCTCTGAATAAACTGGAGACTGGCACTTTGCCTGGACATCTTTCATAATATTTCATAATGCTAAAATAAAGTATTCTAAGAAAAAATACTGTTAACATTATGCCTTATATAAAAACCTCATCAAATATGTAGAGTAAAAAATAAGTTTGGCCTCTGACTCCTACCATCCTTTAGGGACATTTACATCAACAGGTGCAGGGCAAGAGCCACCACATCTTTCATGACTCCACCCACCCTGCTCACGCTCTGTCCCTGTCCTCAGGAAGGAGGCTGCGCTGCATCTTTGCAAAAAATTTGCCCAGATGCATAAATACATATCTTTATTTGCTATGATTAAACTGTGATTGATTGAGGGCTGTTTAGGATGATCCTGTCATGGATCATCTCAAACAGAGTGTACTTAAAAGAAACATTAGTTAACACACGCCTATCACCAGACAACATACCAACATATGATTTTTTTTCTCATTAGATTAGACTGTTGTACAATGAGTCTGTCCACTGGAGAGAGAAGCCCCTCCCAATCAAAATGACGTCCTGCCCCTGAGGAGTGGCCAGACCCAGAAGAAAATGGATAAAATGTGTGGATTGTTTTGATTCTGTACCAAAATATCCTGAAACTGAATAAAGGTCTGTGAATAAGAGGAGAAACTTTTGGACCACTTTAACAGGAAACACCACCACCAAGTGGTCCGAAATACAAAAAGTGACAGGTCCTTCGGTCAACTCTTTCTTGAGACTCAAACACTGACACCTAGTGGCAGAAATGCAGACTGCAGCAA